TATATGAATGTATACATTTATTGATTGGAGTCTTGACGTCAATAGGAAAGATAATCGTTTCTTTTTCGTATCAATGATTATATTCTTTTTTTTTCCTCTTCATCTATCAATTTTTTCATCTTTCATTTCCACCTGAAAAAAGAGATATCATTTTTCTTCTAGCATTCGTTTCCTCTTCTTTGAAGTGTATCCTAGACTGTGAAATCTATATAAATCATTTGTATTCTTATAGAATTAAGTAAGAATTTTATTTTATTTATTATTATTATTTATCTATTTACACATCCGATATCAGGAATTACTAATCTTAACAGTACATATCGAGAAAACACATTGGCTATATGTGAGAATTGATATTAACATTATCATTATCAGCCAAGCGTAGAGAATAAAGGAAATAATGACAGCAAGTAATAGATTTCTAACAGCTGTATGTCGAGTGAAGTGTGTTTTGTTAATATTTTTCTTCTTTCCATGAAAAAGTCGAAATCTGTTACGAGTTAATCAGATTAGTAATATGACAAGTCGTTAATGTAGCGAGAAAATGATACGGAAACGAAGAAAAATGAAGTTTTGTATATAATGTTTTTGTCGATTTCTATTGTGTAGCAGACTTATGTCATCTTATCTTTTAATGGTTACATATTGATCTTTTGTTACTATCAAATCATTGACTTTACTTTCACTACCTTCTTTTCTTCTTTTGATTTAATCTTTGTTAGACTTTCATTTACGTTTGTTTGACCAACAATAAAAAAAAAAGCCGTCATAAAACAAAGACAATTGAACGAAGTGTTTGTATGTTTATGAGTTTATAGATGTGTAATGTGACATAGGTTTTGGAATAGTAGTGATAATCATATAAAAAAAAACGAGAAAAGAAAGATTAACTGTCATTGACTGTTGTCAATACTATCCGAAAGATAGAAAACAAATATATTTATGCAAATCTTGAAGAGTGTTAATATAAGATGAATGTATGTATATGCATAAAATAATGACTGATGAAACAGTCAATTTCTTTATCTATTTAAAAAGAGAAAAAAAAAAGTAGGCGGAGAATTGCTATCGTGCTTTGTAATTTCCATTCTTCTGTATAGATATATACGTCATTGTCTATTTTTTTGATCAGAGGGTTTTTTTTTATGCTGACTAATCCATTATTAAATACTGTATCTCAAATCTCCATAACATTATTATTTATTTTCTTTGTCTTTTATTCATCAAAGGCGCACATGTTTTCAACTGTTGTTGATGGGCTGTACGAGCTCGAAGCATGAATTATCGAAAGGTGATCTTGAATTTTTAAAATTACATACATCATATTCAGAAAAAAAAATTAAAACTTGGTACAAAGGTTTTATGGTATGTATATATATGTAGATATATATATATATATATAGATATCTTATTTGTTTCGAATTCTTTTTTCTTTATTACAGAGAGATTGTCCCAACGGTGAATTGACACGCGATTCATTCATTCAAATTTACAAGCAATTCTTTCCCAAAGGACGTGCAGAAAATTTTTGCGAACATGTCTTTCGAGCTTTTGACACTGGTAAATTAGAAATGAAAGAAAAAGAACAAGAAATGATTATTATTCTATTCAATTGAATAATTTAGATAAAAGCGGAAAAATTGATTTTAAAGAATTTTTACAAGCAATCAATATTACATCACAAGGAACACCTGATAAAAAGTTAGAAATGGCATTTCGTATGTATGATTGTAATGGTGATGGTTCAATTGATGAAAATGAAATGAGACGTATTATTGGTGTAAGTTTACATAAGATGCTAAATAAACAATATGTTATATGAATTTTAATTTTTTTTTAAAGGCAATTTATGAATTAATTGGTGATGAAATCGATAAAAAAGAACGGCAAATAGAAGCAGAGGAACGTGCTCTGAATATATTTACAATGATGGATAAAAATTCTGATGGTATATTAAGTCGAGAAGAATTCATTGATGGTTGTTTAAATGATGAACAACTTTATCAGTTATTAACACAATCAAGTCGAATTGGCGATGATCGAGATTCAGAGTCATCACTAGAAGATTAATGTTTCTTTTTTTTTTTTTCTTTTCTTTTCTTTTCTTTTTTCAATAAAACAACACGGGAATGACAATCATTAGTTTTCAAAAATAATACAAAAAATTAATTGATTTCTTTTTTGTTTTACTTATTTGTCTTGTGTATTTGTATCATCATAATTAACATTCCTTTCCTTTTTCTTTTCTCAACTATAATAATAATTATATTAATCATATAGATCATTCATTCAATGAATTATTCTTTTTATGATTATAGATCGAAATATGTCTGATAGTTTATCAGTAACTGCTGCTGCAGCCGAAGATAATGTTTCTGATGATGAAAAAGAAGAAGAACAAGTAACTAGTACTATTCAAAAAAAAGAAGATGCAAAGGTTGAAAAAGAACTTGATCGAGTTACAGATCGTGTCGATGAAGAAGATCTTGGTTCAGAGAATATAGGAAATGTATGTTATTAAAATATCAATATTTCATGATAGTTATTTTTCTTTTTTTTCTTTTTGTAAAGGCATTAACAGCAATTAATGATAAACGACATCGTGATGAATCAAAACGTAAAGCTGAACAAGCAGTATTAGCTAATGTTAAAATTCGAAAAGAAGATGTTGAACTTATTATTCAAGAACTTGAATTACCAAGATCAAAAGCAGAAAAAATCTTACGTCAACATCGTGGAGATGTTATAGCAACACTGAAAGCACTCGTCAACGCTTAAAAACATTATCGTTTTTTCATTGATTGGATGCTGTTTTTTTCTATTATAATCATTAAAACGTGCATCTCTCGAAATAATAAATATCTTTAAGGCATACTAAATATGTAATCTATAAACACGAAAAATTAATTATATATAAAGTAAAAAATCTATAGTTAATTTTGTAGATTAATAATTGTCGTTGGCAAGACAAAGTTCTTTGTGATGTGATATAGAAATATTTCACTCCATTAAACATAAGATGAGTAAAAAATTTAGTTGCCTTGAAGGGTTCTTTGCATCATTCACAATAACAGAAACGAGAAGAAAAAATATCTCTATTTTTTTCTTCTTAGAAAATAGAAATAAATCATAACGCAAATAATTGCCTTGTGAATAATTTTCATCATATACTACGCATAGCTATTCCATATATAATAAAACGATCGGAATGCATAAGATATTCAATCAATTCGCTTGACTATTTTGTTTCCAATCAAGTTTAAACATATATAGAATGAATGAAAGTGCATACTTAAATTGATGATTGAATGCTAAATTCATTAAATAACTATTCAATTCAGCTGAAATTAGAGTCACTTGTATTTATTATTATTATAAAGTATTGTATTTGAGTGGATTGTCCTAATTGGTCCCGAACACTTATATTCAATACACATTTTCTAGCATACATTATAAAAAAAAAACCATTAATTTAAAGCATTAGAAAAAAGTTTCTAATAGAAGAAATACAAAAAACAAAAAAAAAAGGAAAAGATCACATCAAAGATGAATAAGTAGAAATTGTAGTGTTTTATGGTCGAATTGATTGATTTGATGGATCATGACTAGCTAATGTCAAAAGTTTGTTGAAGAATATTGATAGAATTTGATCAAGCATGTACACGAGATCTTCCTTTCAGTAACGATTGAATACACAAATTTTCCATACCATATTGACGTGTTTTGTTGACAATAGTTTTATTCATTATGTTGTAAGCTATTAATTCTTGGTATCATGTTGGTCAATGTTCCAGAGCCGCTTCACTAAGCTTTTATCTTAAAGAAAAAAGAATTTTATGCAAAGATCAGTACTAAGACATTCAATAGGATAATATATCATTCATTGAGAGCATCTATAGAAACTATTGATTTTTCTTCTCTCAAAGAATTTGAGAGAAAACAATAGATCATTGACATTGAATATAGATGCGACTAGGTATATGTGTTGCAGAATAAAAACATAAGTTTATAAAAGATTGGCAATTATCGATGAATCATTTTTAATATTAAATATGTTTGTCGACATTTCTACTTTAGTTGATTATCAACGATTACTTTAAAAGAGATTTTAGAATCTATTTAATGCTCTAAATATTTAAAGACTTTCGTTTGTTCAATTCGGGTCTCTACATAGTTTATATTCAATTTAACATGTTTTACAATATTCATGAATACTACAAACTGAGTCTTTTTGCCATTAATTGCTTGATATCATTGCTTCGCATAATTATGTAGTTTTTCCAAATTTTTATTCATTCATGTTTCAATATTCATTATTTGTTTTCGAAAATTACAAAATATTTAGAATGTTTATGATTCACAAATCATCAACGTAAAGGTAATTATTTTCGGCCTTTCAAATATTTCCTGAAAATCGTAATGAACAACAATGTATGTTTTACCTCCAAAGACGCTTCTTTGTAGTGCTCCTCTTACAATTGTAATGTTGTTAGATAGGAGACCATTGAGAAGTCAGTCATACAGGACTATTTCTAATACTTATTAAGGTTATTATTGCGTGTGCAATGGGTTGAAGAATAATTAGCAATTAAGCAAAAATATAAGATCGGTTCGATCGTACTCTGCTCAGATTTCAATCGTATCTATAATTCATTAGTCAAATTCTACTGCGTTGCCTACAGAAACAGTACAAACTGACCACACAATGGCTTTCTATGATAATATGGCTTTGGTCGAATGCTTGTCTTTCGAGAGATTTTCAATTGCAAAATAGATTGAACCATTTTTCTAGTATATGTCATACTATAGGACTTTTGAGAGACTACAAAAGTGTAAACTTGGCGAACTGAACAAGTCCTAACAGCTTTGAAACAGCAACTCCTAAATGCCTACCAAGCAGAATTCAGAATTCTGTGGACTCATCTATTTTTTTTAAACGAGTTGACTATGCTATTCTTTTCAGGTCTGTTTATATTCCGCCTAGATTTCTGTAGAATTCTATGCCATCAAAGACAATGTATTCCGGACTGGTCTGTTTGAATTCTGTGTTATCAAAAGTAACCTTCTTTTCTCTTGAAGATATACAATGTTAGCATGCCTATTCAAAGTTTGTATTCTGTTAGTCGTTACAGAATTCCGTTTTAAATTCTGCTGATATTTTTAAATTCTTCATTAGAATTTTTCTTTTCTCTTGGGGATATATCATTCTAGTTTGACTATTCAAAGTTTATATTCTGTTAGTGGTAACGGAGTTCCGTTTTCAATTCTGCTGGCATATTTAAATGCTTCACGAGAATTTTTTTCCTGTTCGAGATATACGACTCTGGTATGTCGTTTCAAAGTTTGCATTAAATTGTGTATTAGAATTTTTCTTTCTTGTTGGAGACATACGGACCTAGTACATCTTTTCAAAGTTTGTATTCTGTTACTTGTAACAGAATTCTGTTGAAATTCTGATACGTTAGTGTGGTGCTTAGTAGTTTATTTGCTATTGGGAATTTATCCTAGTGAATTAATCCATTATGTACCGATCGGATTTTTAAATTCTGAATTCTGCTTGGCAAGAATTCTGCATCCCCTCGTACGTGCGAGTGAATGTAGATTATCTCAACCTATCAATTGTTGATTGAGGAGTCTGGCCTACATTACAAAAGTTCGCTCAA